GTTCATCAATAATTTGTTCAAGTAGGGCTTTTAAAACTTATGAAATATATTAGACTTTTTCAGCCTGTCAATCAATTATTTACGTATAGCTTGCACAGCTCACTGTCAAACTTGAGTGACAGATTGAGTAAAGGAAAACATTTCTAATAACAGTTCTCCTGCTCTGTGTCATAGCAAGTGCAGTGCATACACTGCAGTTGCTGCAATTACTCCTCTAGCAAAACATACTGTTTATATTTGAGGAATATAGGGTGAGTGACAGATTTGAATCCATTCTGGTGCTAATGATCTGACAATGAAGCATAGGTGTTGGCAGTACAGGGGAGGGTAGCTTTGAATTATGAATCCCCAAACAGAGCCAATTATATCAAAAGGGGCAGGAGATAGATGGGATGGGCACATCAAGATTGGGAGGTGGGATGGGCACATCAGTATAACACTTTGGATGTCCAATACTAAATCTAAAGTGAAGATAAAAGACCAGGTATCATGATCACATAATTTATCTGAACTAAGGGTAACAGACAAAGTATAAGACATGCATTCAGCAAACAGAGGTTAACGACATAGGTAGATAGACACTATACATTCACATTCAAAGAACACTGAGTACCATAGCCCTACAGCCCACAGTAGCAGTTATGGGGCCAGGAGAGCCCTGCAAACGGTTTGACAGCTTATCTGGGGTTCCTCGGGTGCCAGTTGGAGCTTCCCGTGAAGTCAAAAGCAACTGCAAGGAGCTTCATTAGTTCCTCTGAGCTGTGACCTGCCATGAAGTCCCCACCTGCACCACAGGGCTTGTTCAGTGTAGGGAGCTTCCAGGCTGCAGAGAAGTAGGAGGTAAGTCTTACCTCCAGTAAGTGGTCAAAACATTAGCAAGCAGTTTGACTGTTTACCCTGGGAAAGAGCAGGCCATAGTTGTTGTGGTGCTTGGTGTGTTCCTTTAAGTCTGAGGTTATTGATATATCATATTACATAAATACTTTGGGAATGCCAGCAATGGGACATTAGGTAGATAGCTGAGCCTGTATTTGTTGTGCTAATGACAAGACAAGTGAAAAGAGGGTTCGGTATTAGACCACATGGAAAGAGGCATAAAAGAAAAAAAATACCAGTTTTAGTAAAATAAAATACTGTTTATGTACTGTATTTTGTCCAGAAAGCCTGATTCCCATAACCTGAAATTTTGTGAAAATGTGGAGTGAAATACATGTCTTAAAGGACCACTATAGTGCCAGGAAAACATACTCGTTTTCCTGGCACTATAGTGCTCTGAGGGTGCCCCCACCCTCAGGGTCCCCCTCCTGCCGGGCTCTGGGGAGAGGAAGGGGTTAAAACTTACCTTTTTTCCAGCGCCGGGTGGGGAGCTCTCCTCCTCCTCTCCTCTCTTTCGGCTGAATGCGCACGCGCGGCAAGAGCTGCACGCGCATTCAGCTGGTCTCATAGGAAAGCATTCATAATGCTTTCCTATGGACGCTTGCGTGTTCTCACTGTGATTTTCACAGTGAGAATCACGCAAGTGCCTCTTGCGGCTGTCAATGAGACAGCCACTAGAGGATTTGGAGGCTGTATTAACCCTCAGTGTAAACATAGCAGTTTCTCTGAAACTGCTATGTTTATTAAAAAAAAGGGTTAACCCTAGCTAGACCTGGAACCCAGACCACTTCATTAAGCTGAAGTGGTCTGGGTGCCTAGAGTGGTCCTTTAATTATTTTAGAACTCCTGGTGCCCACTGGATTTATATCTTGACATTGTGGTGTTATCCAAAACAAAACAAATAACACAAGTTAAACAGCTGGTAAAAAATAAATAAAAAAGTAAAAATGCAGGAATAATAATAATAATAATAATTTTATATAAAAGCAAGGAAAAACAAAAAACATAAATTAACCAGTTGGCACCTTCTTTCCAGTTACCAGTTTCTATTATTTTTTCCCTCTAAATATCATACACAGTTCTAAATCTTATATTATTGTAAATATAACAATTTTTTACATTTGTATATAATGCACTTCACCTTTGCTTTTAGTGTAATTATCCTCTATGACAAATTTACTGTACATTTTAGAACAGGCCATTTTTTTAAATTTATCTTTTATTTAAATAAAACACACAGGTGCAATGGTGAGAGTTAGGCGAACCTGAAAACCTTACCAGATATGACGTATTGTATGCTGGATTGTAACTATTCTTTATGTCTTTGTAGTATTGGTCTTATCACAATTTTGACCTTGCTATAAGTGAGCTAAAAGAAATATAATACAACGTAGTGCTATCTTTAATAAATCAGTGGATTATGAACGTAATACAGATATTTGTTAATGAGCACTTGAAGTGCAAATGTTTATCTGCCGAAGCAGTTTACTGCACATGACCAATAAAACACAGATATCATTGCTAATATAGTGCATGTACATAGCTTAAAGAATGATGATGATCACATTCTAGTAGAGAAAGTGAGTTACATCATCTCAGTATTGCATAGATTATGGACCAAAAAGTAAACATCACAGAGCTTTCCATTTTAGGCAGAAGTTGAAGAGGAGACACTTTCGAGTTTTTAATTGTATAGCATTTCTATAATGCTTATTCAACACAGATGAGGTTACTCAATTGGAAATATAAATAGATGAGCTAGAAGCATAGCAGAGTTGTATATATTTTTTCTGATTTTGCTATTTTGGCCTACAATTTGCAATCCCCTTGTCGAGTCCACACAAATGCTGGTCAAGTGGATCATTCGGACAATGTTATGTGACACACCAAGGAAGTTTGGTTTTCAGCAAATCCAAAATTACTAAAGCATTACGTCTATTATTTGAGGTTTACAAGTGCCATCATAAAAGGCTTGAGTCATTGGTGGTTTGTGTCCTTCAATACAGTCATAAACATAAAACCACGTAGGGTATATTTAAAAATCCACGATAGGTTAAGAGATGCAGAAGTAGAACAATCACCATAGAAACCAATAGACTATTCCTTTCTGAATGTAACTTATAATACAAATTAATTGGCCTACTACCCAGCTGTTCATCTGTATTATCTAGCAAAGGGACTACTTAGTCTCAGTATTTTTTCTATGTTTTACACTGGGCGGAACTACCACCATTTAGAAGTGTCAGTCCCCCAGCAGTCACCATTAATGGCTGCAAGGAAATTGGCATAACTATTAATTAGAAGATCTCAACATTTATTTAGTCAATGCCAGTATCCTAAGCCACTGATAGTTCTGTGTCGTTCCTCTGTGTATTTACATAAGTTTAGTGAAAGCCACCACTTCTGTTGGAAGGTTATTACATATATCCTACCCCATAATAATACCTTCCCATATAATATTTAAGGTTTTTTAAACTGTGGACTATGAGTCCAAGAGTCTCCCGTTTTATAATACACTTTCTCTTTGTATTTTGTTCGACTAAAATAAGACACCATTTCCTTAGCTGTCCATGCTGTTTTCTTCTCACAATCTACAATTTTATCCAAACAGAAATCCGAAATGAGAGTTTATGTCTGCAAACAAGTAAATTCATATCCAGTATTCATCCTAAAGAACAGGTAGTACAATAGTGTATCCACTGTGAGATGCAAGTTTTTTAATGCAATACCAGTGCCATTTTTGTCACTTGTCCTTCACCAGGCTCCTAGTCATGTGACTTGAATATCACTGGTCTTTGTACCTTGTATTGCACTAATAACCCTACTAGTCTTTGACATTTTTTAATTTACCCACACTGGGAAAGAAGTTTACTGTATCCATGTTGGGCAGTCCATTAAGTTTTATTAATTTCTGAGAACATATGAGCTCGGTAAGCAGTCAGCAGTAGCCACTGGTCTAGAAATAATGGGGCCTCCTGTTAAAAAACTAGTGTATCACCATCACTGGGAGCAGAAGTCTTACACTTTATGTAAGTCCCCGAATTATTATGTTTTAGTCATCTTGTGGCCATTATAGGTGCAGGGTGTGTATAATGTAATTGTTTATTATTCAATGTTTTGTGTGCTCTCCAGACCTGCTGATTCTCTCAACCAAACAAGGTGGATCTGGCTGTGGAGCCTGTACAGTGCCATCTGTTGGTTATGAGGATCTTGAAACAGCTACATGCACTACCTGAATAGCAAGGCTAATTAATTTGCATATTCCGGTAAATTTGCATATTATGATTTCTGCGGGCAGGGAACATATGTTGTGTTATTGTCTTCCCCACTGATTTATAAATATGTTATTGCGTTACTATGAGTTCCTGTATGTTTCCCCCATATGATTTGGTTATTTGTATCAGATTGAGTTTGTCACAGTAAATTCAATGTAAGATCCATTGAGAATTGTGTGTCCTGGTTGCTTTTTTCAAGGATCCCAGTAAACCAGTCTTCACACCTGTTGGCTTGCTGTCTGGTTCCTGGGACAAGTTAAATACAATCATTCAACCCCCATTGCAAAAAAGGTTTATATAATGCACAATTTACAGACTTTCAGATGTTTGAAATGAAAAACAAACAAACAGGCACTTTTAATAGCTCAACATAACAAATGCTTCAAGTGGCTCCCCAAATTCCACTAAAAATCTACTTCTAATGACTTCCCCAGTCTCCTAATTATTCAAGGCAATACTCTTAAATACTTAGTAGAGCACCCCATTGCTGTTATGGCCTGCTGGAAATGGCCTGGCAGCGTTTCTGAGGAATCATAGCCCATTGCTGATGAGCAATGGCCTCCAGTTCAGTAATATTCTTGGGTTTGTATGCTGAAAATTGCATTTTCAGTTGAATCTGGGGAAACCACCTGAAGCATTCATTCTGTTGAGCTATTTCAATTGGTTTTGTTTGATTTGTTCATTGCTAGCAGCTGAAAGTCTGTACATTTTGACAATAAGCCTAATTTTGATTACAACTGTAAGAGCTAGGCCTGAGAGCCACAAGTCCATTTGTAAAGGCAGTAGCTGGTCGTAGCGTAGGAAGAGGTGTGGATACCTGCCTGGGAGAGGAACTGAAGAGGCAAAGGCTGGAAGGTGAGAGCTACAGCCTGGTCCAGATTGGAAGAAGTAGTCCTCAGCAGATGCGTTCCAGGATCCTTGATAGTTGCTAGGTGGCGGAATTGGAATCGGAGTACTTAGTTGACGTATGAGAGCTCTGTCACAGGGTCCTTTGGCTTTAGAGGAGTGAAAAGAACAATAAGATCATCACTTTAGGTTTTACATAGAGTTTTTTTTTAGTTAGATTCAATGCTTCTCTACGAAACACAATGGATTGGTGGAGGAGCATGGCAGTTGCTGCACATGCTCCCCATGTCTCCAGTGCTTCTCTATGAGAAGGGTTGGGCTGGACAAAAGCCATCAGAACTGATGAATCCGTTGGAGGTGGAGTGGCTGCACAGAGGAGTCTTCCCTGTCACTTTAATTAAGTTTAAGAACTATCTTTAATGATATATTAAATAAGAGTGGGCTCAGTAATCTAAATAAAGAAAGGAACTCTGTAGGATGAAAAATAATTAACCTGACAAAAGACTCATATAATGGAAGAATTGAAGCAGACTTAGGTCAAAAACATTGCATGCTCATTGCCTAGATAAAAGAGAGTAACTCAGGGACCAGACAAACTAAATGGAATATTTGATTTTCCATTATAGCAACTCTGTCTCTGTTTTTGTTGTTGCTGACCTCAGCCTCTATTAAGGTCCATGTTGCCTCCTTTGCCATCCAATACGTGCACTTGACCCCACTTACAGTTTGTTTTTTTATATGCTGCCTGTCCTCCTGGTCTAATACACCACAGCACCATCTTTCAAATGCCCCCATGGAAGTTTTCTCTTCTGCCTGTCATATGGCGTGAACATCATAACACGTATTCCCAGTTCGCTGGTCAGATGGGGTGTATCGCCTTTGCCCAAGGGATCTTGTGAGAGTGATTACTGGAAGGAGGTGAGAAAGAACTTCAAAGACCATGACAAAAAGTTGACAAATGACAAGGAGCTTCACTAAAGCTCCACCCTTTGCCTACCTGCAGTTAGTCTGTACTTTTTCTTATGTATAGCTTTGAAAGAAATCATATTTAGAAAGAAAGAGAGGGGGAAAAAAGGGTTGGGTGAACAAATCAAAGGGGGACACAATGCAAGGGGCACAGCCGCTTTAACAAACAATTCAAAGGCTAAAGGCTTGTTCTATAAAACAATATATATATATATATATATATATATATATATATATATATATGTTTTACTGGCACAGTAAAATTATTAAATAAAGGATATGCAGTAATGTTAATCCTTTCCTTAGAAAACCTCATAAAATGCATATATGAACATTAAATCATTCAAATCATTGTAAAGATGATCTAAGCAGTTTATTATTTGTGGGTATAGTTCAAAGTTTAAAAGTGGGATCATAAGTTCACTTTCTACACAAACAAAAATGTGATTGAACCTAACAGTTTCAGAATGTTTCTCACCTATCCGTAGAAGAGCCTGGTAGCTTACTGAGATCATCCAATAGCCCATTTTGTTCTGTGACAGATTCACCTGGCTTTCATTTCAAAGACAATCAAAGAGCACTTTATCTTTTTCAAGATACAAGCCTTCTTTCTTTAACTCCAAGACTTTGAAATAATCAATCTACTGTAATCACTGTTTCCTTTATATGTTCAACAGCAGATAATTGCTTTGACTTTAGAACCCGTCAGACTACAAAAGCCGAATGTAAAACAGCTCAGCTAACCTCACTGCTCTGCAGGTACAGAGTGAGTCATAGGGCACATGTAAAGAACCAGAAACTGTCCAGGAAAATGAGAACAAATCATTTGACAGTAATAATTACAGAACAATATTAAAGTTTCTGTGTATGAATATTAAGGGGTGCTAAAAAGAATCCTACAATGGACAGAAAAGACACTTTACCATACCTTCCAAGTCTCTCTAATTTTTGCTCCAAATCCAACTGGCTGTTCTTTTTAGGAGCTCCATATTGTTGGTGTGTGAGTAGAGCTCCACGGTAATAATATTCACAGTAATGTGTCTTAAAAAGGGACATGCATCACTTGACACTTATTTTTTAAAAGGCAAACAAACCAAAATAAAGTAAGAAAAACATTTCTACACTTAAAATATAATGTAATGTCAGATAAGAACCATTGGGCCCATCTGGTCCTCTTGTTGTTATAGTTTTTCTTTAATGTGTTGATTCCCTTTATGTATTTAAATGTTTCAATAATATCTCTATCAATAATATTAGCAGTAGAAAGAGGGAAGCGCTCATGCCATTGTACAGAACACTGGTGAGACCTCACTTGGAGTATTGTACACAGTACTGGAGACCGTATATTCAGAAGGATATTGATACCTTAGAGAGGGTTCAGAGAAGGGTTACTAAACTGGTTCATGGATTGCGTGATAAAACTTACCAGGAAAGGTTAAAGGATCTTAACATGTATAGCTTGGAGGAAAGACGAGACGGGGGGATATGATAGAAACATTTAAATACATAAAGGGAATCAACACAGTAAAGGAGGAGACTATATTTAAAAGAAGAAAAACTACCACAACAAGAGGACATGGTCTTAAATTAGAGGGACAAAGGTTTAAAAATAATATCAGGAAGTATTACTTTACTGAGAGGGTAGTGGATGCATGGAATAGCCTTCCAGCTGAAGTGGTAGAGGTTAACACAGTAAAGGAGTTTAAACATGCGTGGGATAGACATAAGGCTCTCCTAACTATAAGATAAGGCCAGGGACTAATGAAAGTATTTAGAAAATTGGGCAGACTAGATGGGCCGAATGGTTCTTATCTGCCGTCACATTCTATGTTTCTATCTCCCCTGTCTCATCTTTCCTCCAAGCTTTACATGTTAAGATCCTTTAACCTCTCCTAGTAAGAACTTACTATAAATTTGGTCAGAATCAATTATTGGTCATGCTCTCACCTAAGGTAGTTTCTTCAGCGTTCACCCTACTGAAGGCATTATTGGGCATGCCTCTCACCTAGGGAAGTTTCTTCAGCATTCTCCCTACTTTCCTCTTACAGACCCATCTCAGATTCCGGTCTAATGACAGAAATAGAGCAACATTGTGCAGAATTAGGAGTGAGAAACCCAACATCGGAGTCTGCTCTATGTGATCCCACTGAGCAGACTCCCTCTCTTCTCCCCCTGTCAAGATGTTGCAAGTTGAAGAGAACTTCCAATTGCGCATGTGTAATCCGGTCAGGCATGTCCAATGCATTTTCCAGCATTCCTAGGTATAGGACCCTGATTTGTTAGATCAGTGTTCCCCTGGAGTGTGTGTGGAAAGCATAATAAAGAAGGTAAATATAAGAAACAAAATAATATTTTTCATTTTGCTGAGTGAGGCTAAGTTTTTTAATGAGATTGTCTCAAAATGATACATGTCCCTTTAAACTACGATACATATGTGTAGAATTTAGTTGGTGAAAATAGGACAGATTGCCCTTGTTTAATATTACATTTTAGTTGCATAAATTGTTATTAGTAAGAAATAACATTTCTCCAAACAGTACTGCCCCTAGCCATACCCTAACTAACTCCCCTATAATGAAGTGTCCCTTTGTCCATATGACATAGGAAACAACTATTCCATAGTGAGGGGCATTTTTGGAGTAAGCAGCCGCTCAAATTTATTGTTAAATGGAAAACAAAATAGAACAGACTATTTACTATTTTCCACTTTCAATACATTATCTGCTCTCTATATTGCATCAAACTTGACTTTTTCAGGAAACAGTGAATGATTGTAAAATTTGAAATTAAATCGGATGGTATTAGAGTTGTTCTTAGAAGTTATGATCAAATGAATTAATTCTTTCATTCCTGTGTAAAGGAATAGAAGCCACATCAAAGTAATGCATTAAAGAATAGAGTTCCACACTGTAGCACGAAATCACCGTGTTAGATAGAGTGTAGGATTTGTCAGAACATGTTTCAGTCTCTAGTTAATTATTAATCTTGCATACAGGTCACGTTAGCAAGTTTGTTTTTCATTGACATCATTTTCAGTAGGAATGTGTCTCCTTTAGGACCTTGATTCATCAATACTTTTGTGCTACTTAATGCAAAAGTTCAGTAGTTCTTCTAAAATGTTAAATGTGCTGAGATAATTAGAAGGTTTAGTAAACAGGGTTGGAGTTCTTGTTCCCTTCGAGGTAACCTGCTGTTTTTAGAAGATGTGTGCTAATAAAGATAGCTTTCCTCCTTGCCTTTCACAGAAGAATGATTTCGCACCATAAACGCTAAAACAAAATGCATTCACATCTGTGGTGGGAAAGCAAAGATTTGCTGATAGTGGAACCATGAATTTCTGGGTCTAAATCCAGCCAATAATATAGCAGAGAATGGCCCAGGTAACATAGAACATATGCATCAGAGTTTAAAAAAAAAATATATATATATATATATATATATATTTTCTGATTCATATTTCAATTACGATTTGTTTCCTTTTTATTTTTTTTATAAATTAGTATCCAAGTGATACCCTAACTATCTACTGTGCAACTTTGTTTCCATTATCACACTGTATAATAAGTGCCTAATGGACAACATTGTCTTGTCCAACACTAATTACACACATTATTCCGCTATCATCCTAGATCTCACTATTTTTTTTTCTGCTAAGACTAGTTTATCAAAAAGTTGAGAGATTTTACTTATTTTATACTTGCACCATTTTAAACCACTCTACTGCATTTCACACTCCATAGTTTTTTCATCAGTTTCTGTTACCAGAAAAGAAATTAATGCAGTAAATGCTATGATGCAGATTGTCCCTTCACAGCCTGGGAAAGGACAACTCAGGTCCCGAGAGCGTAGTCCCAGCATAATCTAATCCGTACCAACTACAGGACCACTTGTTCCAGAACACCACATCCTGGACCAGCCACAGAACCAGCCTACAAAGTATTATCCACAACAAACCTACAAGGTTACGAGATTTCAAGGCAAAACATCAAAGAAGGCTTTGGACCTACAGAAGTGTTAAGATCTGACCATTAAGTGTTCCAGATACTTTACTGTCCATTTTCATTTCATTTTTGCAAGGTGTGTGCACACCAGGACTGTTTTGATTCACATGTATATACATTTAGTTTTAGCTAAAAAAATTTGAGGGTACCTATTCCCTTTACTTTGAAGAGAAACGATATTATTGCCTAGACCAGGATTTTCGGCTACAAACTGTGGTGAAATGTATTTCTGCACAGAACTGTGTATACTGTATTTTGTATTATATTTTGCTGTACATGTTTTTTG